CATCTTCTCTTATTCTATGCAACAACAATGAACCTTTCTTGATCGGATTGTGACATGCAATGAAAAGTGGATTTTACATGACAACCAGCGATAACCAGCTCAGTGGTTGGACTGAGAAGAAACTCGAAAGCACTTCCCAAAGCCAAACCTGCACCCCAAAAAAGTCATAGTCACTGTTTGGTGGTCTGCTGCCCATCTGATCCACTACAGCTTTCTGAATCCCAGTAAAAGCATTACATCTGAGAAATATGCTCAGCAAATCTGTGAGATGCACTAAAAACTGCAGTGTCTGCAGCTGGCATTGGTCAACAGAAAAGGCCCAATTCTTTTCCATGACAACGCCTGGGCGCACGTCACACAACCAACACTTCAAAAGTTGAATGAATGGGCTATGAAGTTTTGCCTCATCCACCATATTCACCTGACTTCTCGTCACCTGACTACCACTTCTTCAAGCATCTCGACAACTTTTTGCAGGGAAAACGCTTCCATAACCAGCAGGACACGAAAAATGCTTTCCAAGAGTTTGTTGAATTCAAAGCATGGATTTTTATGCTACAGGAATAAACATACTTATTTCTCATTGGCAAAAATGTGTTGATCGTAATGGTTCCTATTTTGATTAATAAAGATGTGTTCAAGCTAGTTAAAATGATTTAAAATTCACGGTCTGAAACTGCAATTACTTTTGCAACAATCAAATAGTGAAGGTATTGGTGTGTTTTAATTTCATTTTTTGTGTATCTGTTGTATGTTTTTTGATTTCAGGTTCCCATCAGGCTTGCAAATAATATCTTATAATCCATTATTTTAAACTGATGACAACATAACACTGATTGTATAAACAAACTAACAAATAAGCAAAGAGAAAGCTAATGAAGAATCTATCCCTTAATTTTGTCCCCATGCTTTTCACTTTTTGTTGTTTGTATTTGTATTTTATTGTACTATGTCTTGAAAAATTGTTGCAGTTATTATTTTTGATTGGTTCATCCTAAACTTTCTACTCAAGATATGAATAGTCTACACACCACAATTACAATGTTGCTCTCTGTACTTGCTATTATCAGTGAGTTTTGTACCTTCAGATGATTTCTGACTGCTCATTAACATCCTTTTCTTTCAGGTTGAAAAACTCCCTTTAGTATTTCTTTAGAACAGGTCTAGTGTTGATGAAGTCCCTCAGCTTCTGTTTGTTTGGGAAAGTCATTATTTCTCCTTCATGTTTGATGGACATTTTCAATGGATGCACTATTCTAGAATACATTTTTTTCCTTCAGCACTTTATTTTACTTTATTATTATTATTTTTTGAGATGAAGACTTGCTCTGTTGCCCAGGCTGGAATGCAGTGGTGTGATCTTGGCTCACTGCAGCCTCCACCTCCCAGGTTCAAGCAATTCTCCTGCCTCAGCCTCCCAAGTAGCTGGGACTACAGGCATGCACCACCATGCCTGGCTAATTTTTTGTTTTTAGTAGAGATGGTGTTTCACCATGTTGGCCAGGCTGGTCTCGAACTCCTGACCTCAGGTGATCCACCTGCCTTGGCCTCCCAAAATGCTTGGATTACAGGTGTGAACCTGTGATCCAAGCTATCTTCAGCACTTTAAATATGTGATGCCACTCTCTCCTGGCCTGTAAAGTTTCCACTGAAAAGTCTGCTGCCAGATGTATTGGAACTCTGTTGAATGTTATTTGTTTTT